TCAGTGATGGTAATAAAACGAAGTATACTTGGAAAATACTTTTCACTTTGTTTTACATTTGTGTGTTCTCTCTCAGTAAGCTAACCTGCACCTTCAGCAAATTGGAGGGCTAAATAAGTTTATGTAAAAAAATCACAAAAATTTTACCCTTGATGAAAATATGAAAAATAGAACCCAGATTAAACCTCACTCCCAAAATAACATATGTCAGCTCAAAGCAATGGAAATACTGTGGTCAGTTAAAAGAAGCTGACATTTTGTACAATTATGAAAATGACAAAAGAGGATTTCAGCTTTGACGTTTGAGTTTTCAAAACACCACTACATTTTTAGTCTGAAATTTTAATATTTTGAGACAATAACACTCATATCTGTGATGATATTTAATTTCTGGCTTCCAGGCAGCTGGCTTGTCCCTTGTCATTAAATGGAAGGCTACTACAATGTCATCTTTAGCTTAGTTTTAGCTGAGGAATTCAAATGAAAAGTCAGAAACAAGTTACTTCCCAGTAAATAAATCACCAATGTGGGGGTCAGAGGTGTGTGGTAAGTTTGGGGGTGTTAGCACATGAGTGTACATACACACACAACAGAAATAAAATAACGCTACAATAATTAAACTGTATGTTATCAAAACACTACAATCAAACAGAATATTTATTCTGCCTTCTCTATGTCTCTTTTCATTTTACTCATGCTTTCCTTACACTATTGACTATTATTACCTTTCTTCAGAGATTTAGTCATTTACTTCCCCACGAGCCCTGTCTTCTCTTTCTAACCCAATCCCTGTATATCCATGGCTTTCCAGTTAATGACGTATCTCAGGAAACTGAGAACCTAGAAGTTTATCTTAGGGGAAGGTCTAAAAAAACTATATTTAAAATTCTCAAAATACTAAGAAAACTCAACATATTCACATTTTTAAATATAGAATAATTTTAAAGAAGAGGAAAGTTTTTATAACATCTCACATTTCATTATAATAACTAATAACAAATCTAAGTAGTTTTGCACATTCTTTCATTTAAATCCCACAATCAACTTAACATCTCATGTTACTGAGGGAGATACTAAGGACCAGAGGGTGAAACTATGCCCAATATTACACAGCAAAATAAAAAATCATACAATCAATCCACCCAAAATTGTTTTTCTTTTTTATTTATTGATACACCATAGTTGTATGTATTTTTGGGGGTACATGTGATATTTTAACACATGTATATGATATATAATGATCAAATCAGGGTAATTGGAATATCCATCACCTCAAACATTTATATTTTCTTTGTGCTGGGCACATTTCAATTCTTCTCGTCTAGGTATTTTGAAATACATGATAATTATCAACTATCATTTCCTACTGTACTACTGAATGACAGAACTGATCCCTTCCAACTTTGTTTTTGTATCCACCACCCAAAATATGAACCTCAAGAAAAAGAAAAACACCTTCAAAATATCAAGAAAACAGAAACCAACTTAAATTTTAATGGTAAATATTTAGCAATATTAAAGAACGGAAACATATATAACTTATTGGTGTAGTATCCCTCTCACATGACAGATGACAAGAAGCTTTTAGTAAACTCTGAGGCCCAACCGTCTATGAGCCGCCTTAGGGACTGATTATTTCTTATACCCTATCTTGACTACTTCCTGAAATTGATAATTTTACTGTCCCTGGGCTTATTATAAACCTTCTCTTCAAGTCCTATGATGTCCAGAAGTCTTTGAATGAGTAAAACTGAGGAATCCAGTGAAGAAAAGAACAGAAAGATATTTCTAGCTTCCCAGTTAATAGTCCTCATCATGTCACTTTTATAACAGCCTCACCACAAAGGATTATATAATAGAGTCAAGTAATACTGCAAACAACTGTATTTTAAAAACTTAGATCTTTGATTTTTTGATACTATAACATCTGAAGATTAAAAAAAATTACTATAGTCCAGGCACGGTGGCTCACGCCTGTAATCCCAGCACTTTGGGACGCTGAGGCAGGTGGATCAGGAGGTCAGGAGATCAAGACCATCCTGACCAACATGGTGAAACCCCATCTCTACTGAAAATACAAAAATTAGCCAGCTGTGGTGCCGTGCACCTGCAGTCCCAGCTACTTGGGAGGCTGAGGCAGGAGAATCACTTGAACCCGGGAGGCAGAGGTTGCAGTGAGCTGAGATCGTGCCACTGCACTCCAGCCTGGCGACAGAGCGAGACTCTGCCTCAAAAAAAAAAAAAAAAATTACTCCATACTTGCAAAAGCAATATAGTTTATGCAAAAACACTGTCGATACGTGAAAATGCCGGACAAAAAGTTGTCAAGACCTAACCATCTTGCCATGCTGACTATGAAAAGCAAGTACTTCTTCGATTCAGACTATGAACAAATAATGACATCTCTGCAAGGAAGACTCAAGGAAATCTTTGTGTCATACAACACTTAAGGCATACATACAGAAATCAAACTTTTGTGATAATACCTGAAGTAGAAACAATTTTAAAAAAGATTTTCACAGAACACTTAGAGAAAAAGAAAAACTCAGATTGTTACCTTTTTCTAATCTGAGTTTTTAAGTTACAGATATTTTTAAAAACTGTAAACCAAAACAGCATTTATATATTACTGCTTTATATAACTTACATATTTATAAATTATTTTCAAAATAAACAATCAGTTTTACCTTAAACCAATTGTAGGAATCACTGCATCTAGTAAATACTAGCACCTTATAAGGAATTTGCTATTCCTTATAAAGAGGCAAAGACAAAAAAGAAATCACTGTTTTTGAGAACTAAAGTATTTTTCCATAAGCATAATAGCCAATTTAAAGATTTGACACAAAGACAATAAAAATTATATTGTGAAATAGACAAATCCAAAAAATTGAAATATGCTAGCAATATTATTATAATTGATCAGATGATAAACCTCAATTACCTTCAGTATATAAAACAATTTTAGGTGCTAAGCTCAGGAATAATGCCTGGAATTCTGCCAATAATATTCCTTCTAAACACAATGGCAAAGCCTCTGTGTGACACAGCAGTACATTCAACTTTCTTACAATTTCATGTTCCCCCATCTTTTGCAGAATATTGATGAGAAATAACCTTTCTCTTACAGATTCTCTTAGGTTTTATGAAACAAACCAACACAAAATGGGTAGCAAACCAACTGAAGCAAAACTGGTTTTTATGGTTCTATAACTAGAAAATAAAGTTAGTAATCCATGAGAGTGACAGCTCAAAAAATGAAAATTGCTCGACTGACCTTCAGGTGGTTAGAGTCGTAATTTAACAAACTTGAGTCCTCTCTGCCTATGTCTGCCTCTCACTCTAAACTCTCTCTCATACCCCTTCTCCTTATGCACACAGCTGCTCTTCTTGATGTGAATGCTTTATATTGTGGAGGCCACCAAATCCAAATAATATCGCTTTATTTTGCTGTAATTTTTATAACTTCTATCAAATACAAGTTTTTGGCTACACCTTACACACCTGAAAATCTAAGAAATGCCAGTCTTTTAAAGTTCAGCCACATGTAGGTCTATGTAAAACACTTTTTTAATCTTTAAAGACTATTTTGTAAATTTTCACCTATTATTAGAAATCTTTTTAATACAAATGTTATATACACAGTATTTTTTAAAAGGATCAGCAACGGGCACAAAAGCATAAGATATATTTTGAGTTATTTTCAAGAAAATAAATTTCTCTCCTTACCAGAAATGCTAACATTGATTGTTAAGACTTTCTAATGACAGGTACTTTTTGAAAAGAACAACAAAACTCATTCTATTCCAAACTATATAGTTTGCAGAGATCACAAAGCCCTAATATTAACTCTGACCTTATACTAACTTTACTCATCAGACATAAATCGCTGAGTAAATTAAAAGTCACTTAGCCATGTACAACAAAAAAGCAAAAGAAAAACTGGTTATTAGCTCAACACGGATTGTTCATAAAATGGGCAATATGCTAATTAGTCTGCTTTGCTTTAATTAAAACAATCATTAGCTAAATCACATATGTAAACTTTAATTTCACAGTATTTGAGAAAGATACAAAAAGACCTTTCGTTTATCTAAAACATTTTAAAACTTTCCTATAATCTGTTGGACAGACTAATTTTTCCATTTCCTATATAAACAAATGATAACCTATATTCTGTTCAATTACCACATACATTGTATTAGTGTAGTTTAATAAGATCTGACTATATTTGAAGTATAAACTAAGTCAGATATGCAATTATTACATTTAGGAGGCCTACTTAAATTTTAAAACACTAGCTTAACCTTGTATGTTGTCTTCAAAATCCTTTATTATTCTTCAGTTTTCTATATGGATGTTTAATAGAACACTACAGTGACTTTGCAGTGAATTATGACTCTAACTGAACTGCACAGAACTAGTCTATCAATTAAATAATTAAGAGATTCCACAATTGGAGGTAGCATTTTCAGAAATGCTTTATAAAAACATTTTAGCACACCAATTCCTTACACTATGTCAAAAATTTCACTTAGCTAAATTCTGACAATCTTTGTCAAATTCAGAAACAATAAATTCAATTAAAAATATGTAGCTTATTTAAAACACATCTGTCTTAACAGCTTTAATTTAAAAAATACCTCCTGCCCCCACAAACAGTTAATGCTTCTGGCTAATGCACATTCTCTTCCCTGTATTCTCATCATTTCTATCACATTTTTCCCCATTAAAGTGAGCACATTGTATTTGGTTTCTTTTCTTCCTACTCATTGTTCAGTTCAGCATTTTAATAATCTTTTCAGTACTGCTGTTCAAAGAAAGCAGGATATATGAAGCTAAAGAAAATTCTCTAAGTTCAATGGTTTTCAAAGTGAGCTAGTTTTCCTAGACCTATTTATTAAAAATCCATGCAAAGCAAGCACCACAACCAACTGGTAAACAGCTACAGAAAATTGGAAGCTTAAAAATAAAGCCGTTAAAAACACTTCACTACACACCTTCTCTGTGAAGCCCTTTGTTTCCACTGAAAACCATACTGGAATCCTTGTATAAAAGAAGTTGCCTCCTGGCTATCAATAGCTATACTGTCAGTAACTGAGGGATCCAGATGTCTGCAGCAGTTAAAACAAATGTTCAGCGTTGGGTGCTGATTTCGCTTCCCTCCGTGTAAGGTTTTTCACAAAGGCAGCAGAGTAAGAGCGCACATAGCAACAGCACTCACAGCTGATTGGACGGAGGGTGTGCTCAACCTCCACTGCTCGCTAGGTCCACTACAGCTTCCTGTCTACTTGGCAGCACTGTCATGTTTTCTTTGCTCCTCTTACGAACTCAGCTGTGTTTAGGCAACTAGAAAGGAAAGAATAGTAGACTGATAATGGCAAAGCATTCTAGTGTAAGCCCCTGAAATGCCTCTCTTTAGCTGCTTTTAAAACAGAGAGGAATTTGTAAGACAAAAATTTATTTCGGTTAGTGATTCACCTAAAACCGAAGACAAAGAAGGGTTGTGGAGGGAATCAAATACTTCACATTTGAATTAAATCAGGTTCTACCGAGTGAAACCCTCTGAAAAATGTGTAAATACAAAAATTTACAACAATCAGAATAAAGCATCAACCTTCATATACCTAGAACTATAAAGTATTTTACAACTAACTTTAATTCCTAGAAAAGCACAACCTGTTACATATTCAAAATGAGACAGGTCCTGAAATGGTCTCTTCTCAAATGCATACAGTGCCTTTTAAGAGGGCTAAGGAAAACAGGTTACCAGATTAACTAGAAAAAGATTCAGAAAGGAAAAATTATCAGTTCCTTAGGAATCTCTGACAATACAAGATTTAACTAGGTATTTACAATAGATTGTCTTTTGATATATAGAACAATGACATTTAGACTTTTTTCAGGTTGCAAGTACTGGGCTTCAGTTTATCAGTTCATACTGTCTCCACAAACTTGAATAGCAAAAATCCCTGCCCAGCTTACAAAGTTGTTTGGGAGAGTCAATGAAGGTAGTAGGGGATGAAGAGACATAATGAATTAGAAAATTTTCTCATTTTAGAAATATTTCCCCTGAATGTCCCATCAACTAGGATGATGGTTTTCAAACTTTTAAAGGTTTTCAAACTTTCAAAGCAATGGAACTCTTCATTTGCTTTCTTCCTATAAAATGCATTATCAGTGGTGGCTCTAGGATTTCTATGCAGGAAAGGTTTGTGGGAGTAGGCTGAGGCTGCAGTGGAAGCAAGCTGTTTATTACGAGCTTTATCTTGAGTGTCTTGGGGTTAGGGAGTAGAGGCTGATGGAAATGTTGGAATTACTAAAATGCCCCATGAGCACTATGAGGCTATTTTTAAGTGAGAAGCCACAGATAGCACGCAATTTCCTATCAGTCCCAGAACCTACAAGATTCCTACCCCTGAAGAAGCTTCTAGGATTCCTGGAGTTCTATAGTACACAAGAAATAAAACCTAGAAGAGGTTTATTGCTTTATAGAAATCTCGTTACTTTAAAAAAAGAATCTGATCACTGGCTCCACATTTAGCCAGAGGGAGAACTGCTAAGCCCCCTGAGAAATAACAATTCGAGTTTGGAAACACAGTATGCCTGAGGCAGGTATCTCAGAGAAAGAATGGCATGGTAGAGAGAGCAAGGATTTTGGAGGTAGGCCAACCTGTGTTCAAAACATGAATCTAACATTTACCAACAGTGAGACCACGTATAAGATTATTAAACCACTATGAGCTTCAGTTTCCTCATCTGTACAACTTCCTAATCCAAGACTAGTAACAAGACTAGTCAATGTACCTTTTACTTAATAATTAGCTCATAGAATGTAGGCTGTTTACAAATGACTGGTTTAATGACAGTCTCCTATATCATACTGTAACTGCTTTAAAGGTAGGTACTATGTCTACTTTATTGTTTACCTAGCACCAGGCCTGATTTATATCTTATACAGTATTTGATTTGATTTCACAATTGTGGGAGGTGACTAGCACAAGTAGAACATCTTATTTGACCATCTTCATTGTTCTAATAAGGAAGTTAGATCTAAAATTCACAAGTCGCAACTAGAAGTTAAAGAAATCAAATTAAAAATTTTTTTTGGATTAATACATTTATATTACAAAATTAACCTTTTCCTATCTCCTATAATATACAGTCCCAAGGTTGTTTTGGAATATTTCCTTTCAGTTATAATCCTTAAACTTTAAAATTAAAGGCCAGTGATAGCATATATCTGTAATATAAAACTATTGACTGATGTCATACAAAAAGAACTTATAGAAAAAACATGAAATGTATTTAGTCACAACATGCAATTATAAATGGTAAAAGACACTCCAAGTAGATGTGCCATCTTAAAAACTTAAATTCAAGTGAGGCAGAATTTTATTTAGTGAAATGCTCCCCTCTATGCTACTAGTTTTCCAATAAATTTCAGAACAGCACTTCATATATTTTTGAAAAAAATCTTGCTTTTCCCCAATTTGCTCATCCTGGTACACAAAATTAAATAATGGGTACGCTATAAAATGATGGCACATTACCTACTTTGTAAATCTCAAGGCTACAAACTAAGAATCTGAATAACATGAAATTCTACACAAGTGCTAGTCCCAGATTCTCAATTCTCAATCCCCAACCAGGACAAGCCTCCTTTCCCCACCGGAACCCACCTAGCATGGTTAAGTATGTTCTCTAGGCTGGGCGCGGCGGCTCACGCCTGTAATCCCAGCACTTTGGAAGGCCCAGGCAGGTGGATCACGAGGTCAAGAGATCGAGACCATCCTGGTCAACATAGTGAAACCCCGTCTCTACTAAAAATACAAAAAATCAGCTGGGCATGGTGGCGCATGCCTGTAATCCCAGCTACTCAGGAGGCTGAGGCAGGAGAATTGCCTGAACCCAGGAGGCGGAGGTTGCGGTGAGCCGAGATCGCGCCACTGCACTCCAGCCTGAGCAACAAGAGCGAAACTCCGTCTAAAAAAAAAAAAAAAAAGTATGTTCTCTAAATGGACCAGTTCAGAAAACGTACTATGCTCCTGTAAGGAAACAAATACAATAGTAGATCTTTTACGAAAGTTTTTAAAACTATATATTCCAAATATAAAATGGAAACATTTCAAATAACTATTTCAGATCATCTTCATTATACCTCAAAATTGCCATTAATACACTGCTTATAACACAGAAAAATAGGATTTGACTGCTAAACAGCCCAGTTGTAGCTGTAGTGTGATCACAAAGATGAAATAAAAGGTTCAATCTGTAAAACTTTACTACTTCATGATCACAGATCACCTAATGCAGAGAAAGTGAAAGGAACTGGCAAAAAACACTGAATCAGGGACCACAGATGTGGGTTCTGGCCCAAATCCTACCTCTGATCTTAAGCACTTCTTTGAAACTCTTCATTCTTTGTCTGCAATGTTGGTATGTTGTAAGGATCAAACAGGTTGGGATAAAATTATTTTGAAAGTAGCAATGGATACTTCTATTCCTAATAATCTTTGAAGGATAGAGGAAAATGTTCAGATGTAGCAGTTTAAACATGTTTTAGAAAATCCAACCTCATTATTGGAAAGACCCCTTAAAGCAGCAAGACATAATGGAGGAAAGCCACAAATTCAAGCTCTTTCCACTTACAGGATATGTTACCAAATTATTTAACCTGTCTGAATCTATTTCTTTATTTGTAAAGTGGGAATAAGAATTTCTCTAAGCACTATAAACCACCTAGATCAGCACTTGGCTCTGAATTTTAAGTTTCCTCTTTCCCTTTGCAGACACCAGGTCTACAGATGTGACCATATGTCTGCATACACACACACACACACACACACACACACACAAATAATGGCACTACATTAGCATACATTAGTCATATACTGTATTAATAACAATGGGAATGACACAAATCTTGACCAAAGATGGTGATTTTTTAAAAGTTTCTTAAATAATGTCACATCTAACAACACATTTAACAGCTGAATAATTTGTAATGAAGATTGAACAATAGTTAAAATTTAACATTATTAACAGTTGTGGATAGAGAAGTTGATGATCTAATTAAATCAGTTTTTATTAACGAAATGTGATGTCAGTTCAGGGATAAATTAAGTCATACATTATATTGACTTCTACTTACAGGAGATTCCTAGCAATCATATTTGCTGCAATGATTATCCACGGACTTGCATTCATAATAACAAGGTACAAACAAACCAAATGGCCAAAAAGCAATGCAAATATACTGTTTTAAGAGTTAAACACATTCTTAAAATTAAAATACTAAGAAATACCTAAGAGACTTAATTGGAGCTCTCATCTTAAAAAAAATTTTGGGTTATGATGACCTAGATTCGTTCCAGGAGCAGAGCCTTGTTTACAAAATCTAAGATCTTGAAAGAAGAAAATGTTCTAGCCTGTTTTTTTGGCATCATTCATACTACATTGTTTAAAATGAGCTAGAACAGGGGTTATTTATAAGCTAAGCTACTGGACAAACACTTCGTCTAATAATATCTTGCACACACATTAGTCAGACTTCAAAAGAACCAAGATCAGGTATTAAGAATTTGGTTTTAATATCCTATATACTTTGTAAATGAATACCATCATTATTACATAAAATGTGTGCAAAGGCACAATGGATTCCTTATCCATACTTCTTTTATTCTAGGATGTTATTGATCTCCTGCTATTACAAAGAATGCTATGCTTGATTCAATCTTAAACTGAAAACCAATCATATATTTTTTATTATGATAAAATAACATTTCACTAAACATTTTTCCAGGGATCCCACATTTACTTGTCCCATTGATAACTGCTATTTTGTGAAATAATATTTTGTAGATGAAGAAACCGAATCATAGAAATTAAGGTAGTTGGTGGGTTACTTTGTAAGAATCATCTACTCTAGGTTTAATTCCAAGTCCTGTATTATTTTCCCATAACTACCTATCTCTGATACATGCCATATCTCTGCTAATAGAGACAAACAGTCATATAAATGACTGATTCTGCAGTTTAAATTCTGGAGAATGTTAACAGAAATCTGGTAGAGTGAAACAGTTGGATGTGTATTTAGTCAATCTTCTGCAGCTTTAAGAAGACTCAATCATTAAATCTCCAAAGCTTTAATACTGTTTGGTTTGCATTTAACATTTTTAAAAAATTTGCTTATTTGAAACTATTTTACATTGGTTTGCTTCCAAGTGATATGACTAAACTCTAGCATGTCTAAACGGAATTTGTTTTCCTCTGAATAAGTGTCACCATTATCATCAGCGGCATCCTCCCAATTCCCTAGGCTAACAAACTTCGGAGAGAACATACCCATTGACTGTGTGGTTAATAAGTGCCTGGAACAATCACTTCACTCAGGTTATGTCATTCTAACCAAGTTATAACATGGTGTAAAATACTATTATTATCCCAGTTTTAACCAATAAAATGGAAACTCAGAAAAGTCAGTAACTTTAAGCTTACACAGAGAAGGTAACAAAATCAAATCTTGAACACTTTTAGTTCTAAGTGCTAAGACAATCTGTAGAATTAATGTGCTGTAACATTAAAGTAAGGGGTTGAGACTATCATTTTCTTTTTAAATAAAGTAGGAAAAAGAAAATAAAGTAGTCATCGTTGCTTATAGCAATATTGATAAATAACTTGCTTTTGGGTGGGGGTCGACAGGGATGTGGTCATGGGGCAGCAATGTGAAATGTCTGACTGTGGATTGCAGTCAAAAAAATTGTAAAGCCATTGCTCCATCTGACACTGTCTCTCAATTACTACCATCCCCTCCAGTGTCTCCAAATAAGTATTTGGTTTTTACCATATCATATTCAACAAGTACGGACTTTACTTTGGAAGCACATATTAACAACTGAAATTAAGTATAATTTTACTAAATAGAGTTGGAGAAAACAGTCATTAGAGACTTGCAGGCAAAATTCACATACATCACAGACTGCCACCACTCAATTCTACAGGCCCTCTTTTACTAGAGGTGACACTACTTCTAAAGACACAGATGTTTAGAGATCCCTCAGGATTCACAATGTACAAATCCTGTAACTACTGAATACAGCTTTCTATGTAGAGAGAGACAAAAGTTGTCTTTTTCCTTATATAAATGCCAGGGTCAACCTTTCTATCAGAGCGCTCCATTTCCAATGTCATCTCAGTTCATGAAGTACTTATCATTTGAATACCTCAGTAGTTTTTACCATTTTTGACCAGGAAGAATTTAACTGCAGTGCCTAGAGAGGAAATATCAGTAAGACCTCATAAATTGAATGCTTCACTTAAAGCTTGCACTTACTGGGAATAAATTTTTATTTTCATTCACAAAAACAAAGCAAGCCGTCAAATATACATGCCCCCCTCCCATTCAAACTCAAAATATTTGAGACCACCACAAATAGATGGGGATAGTGGAGGCCAGGCACAGTGGCTCATGCTTGTAATTTCGGGACTTTAGGAGGTTAAGACAGGAGGATCGCTTGAGGACAGGAATTTAAGACAAGCCTAGGCAACAGAGTGATATCTCGTCTACACACACACACACACACGACACACAGATGCACGCACACACGCACGCACGCATGCACGCACGCTGTAGTCCCAGCTTCTCAGGAATTGAGGCAGGAGGATTGCTTGAGCCCAGGAATTCAAGGCTACAGCGAGCCATGATCATGCCACTGTACTCCAGCCAGGGCAACAGAGAGAGAACCTGCTCAAAAAACCAAAAAGAAAGGGAGAGTAGAGTGTACAATTTCTGTAAGTCTGTACAGGCCATCTGATACTCTCTTCTTCCTCTGGGCTAGCTCCCCTACCCCCAACAGCCCCCATCTTTTCTAAAACATCATAGGGTAACCTCAGTTTCTGATTCACCTGTTGTCCCAGGAAGAAAAGACTTTCTTTTTTTAAAACTACAAGTTTCTGAGGGCAGAAGCCATGTTCTTGCTCATTACAGTACTTCCAGCACATATGTGCCAGGCACACTGAAATGTGAATATACTTGTTTCAGTGAAGGAGAGGGAGAATGGTCCAAATGTCTAAGGTTTTACTATTTCTAACAGTAAATTCTGAAAAAGTTGTCACATTTAACCAGTATGACTATATAATCACAACTATTTATTGCAGAAAGAAACATTCTTAAGAATTCACATGACTTTGAAAAAAAACATTTTGTCAAAATATGGGCATTTGGTAGAAACATTTTAGAAATAGAGCATTTCTAAAACAAAATATAAGTGTTTTGTACTAAATTAAAACAAGCATCCCATGTTGTCAATCCCTTGATTTCATACAAGGGCCCATGTAAATTATAAAATATTAGATGCAATATCCTACCAAACACAGCTGGGGCAAATCAGCTATTTAATCTATATTTAAGCTAAGTACAGAATGAAATACCAGTTAATGAAAGACAAGATTTGAGTGCACTAGCAGAATAGTAAAACGACTATTAGGGTTATCATAAAATTCACTGTCCACTGAAAGGGAGGTTTGCTTGAGGCCAGGAGTTCAAAACCATCTTGGCCAACGTAGCAAGACCTTGTCTCTAAAAAGAAAAATATATATATCAAAAAATAAAAAAGGAAAATTCATGATCCAAACAGTAGTAACACATTTAGAGTGAAAGGAGACCATTATGAAATAGGATTGGACACAGGGACAACAGGAATAAACCAGGACCAACCTACATAGCATTTAACCCATCCTATCAAAGTAGTTTGAACTTAACGGTACAGTTAGAGATATAAAACAGCTAAATATTTAAAATTTTTTAAGCATGACTTTTGTATTTTATGAAACTCACTGATATAAGCCCAAATATAAAATTATGATATTTTAGAACTTATTGGAATACTTTACACATGTATGTCCATTTCTTCAAATGACTTTTTTTTAATTAAAAAGTTACCATATGCAACTTATGGCATCTTAGTTTATTCTTGTATGAAGAGAGAAGAAAGAAAGAAAAATCCTTAACCATAACGCACTCTAGTAGTTGTTAAGCAAGCAATAAGCACTTAATTTTTTATCAAGCATCTAATAAATACTAATTCTGGGCCAACCTGTGACAGGTGTGAAGAAAACAGCTGGGAAGAAGTCAGATGTCATCATTGCCCTTGAAGAACAACCATTCTAGTGAAGTAGACAGTATAAAATGAAGAAATGAGGGAAGAACAAACTATCATATAGTTCCTGGCCTTCTTTCAGTTCCTAAAGCATCACAGCCTCTTTCTAAATTCAGGACCTTTGCACATATTACCCCTTTGGCCTGGAATGTTCTTCCCCCTTACACAGCTGGTACCTTCTCATCCTCTGCTCATTTTCTCAGGGGCCTTAACCTAACCATTCTAACCAAAGAGGACTTCTCCTTGCTCTCAGTCACTCTCTTAGCCTTTGTGTATTTCCTTTAGCTCACTTGGAATGTGTTTATCTTACTTATTGAAGAGATGCTAATTTATTAACAACAACAACAGGCAAATTTATTGCATATTCAGAATCAAATACTATTTTCTAAGCACCTCATATGCATTACCTCACTTAATCATTACAATAGCCCTTTTTAGAAGGTACTATCACCAGCCTCATTTTTATTTTTATTTACTTTTATTTTTTTTTTAAGATGGGGTTTCACCATGATGGCCAGGCTGGTCTTGAACTCCTGACTTCAGGTGATCCACCCATCTCGGCCTCCCAAAGTGCTAGGATTACAGGCGTGAGCCACTGCGCCCGGCCTCATTTTTTTACATATTTAAACTAAAGATAAAAATATTGTCTTCTATATTTCTAAAAAATTAGTTTATACTATTTCCTGATTTTTAACTTTTTTGACAATTATCTCTAATTTATTTCTTTATATTTATCTCTTCTTAGCTTCCTAGTTTCAAGGATGAAATGTAAAATTCACTTTGAATCTACTTATTACTAGTTGACTTACTTCTGAGAGTCTGTATTTATTACTTTGAGAACAATGTCAAAATATAATCACCTAGCCTGTTTCTTTCCAGTTCTCTGATAAAAGCCAGATGATCATTATTTCATTTCTGGTGTCAAAACCTAGAGGCAATTGTGCTCTGCTAGGGTAAATACAAAATACAGAAAATAAGCAACTAGCAGGAAATTTGAGTTTTACTTTTTCAGTTGGACAGTATACTTTTCTTCGGGTCTTATGTTTTCTCAACTGTAAAAATGAAAGAAACTCACATTCTCCAAGGATCTTTCCAACTGTGGTTTCTAGAGACAGAGTGATTTTGGGAGTAATTTCAGAATAACAAAAGTATTTTCACATCTTGAACTTTATAAAATGGAATTTAATATGTACCACTATGTAACCTGAATTTTGTTGCTGTTGTTAGGCACTTACAATACACTGGTAAATACGTGAATTCCACACCATAAGCTACAACAAAAGGTACAGGCCAGGATTAGGCTACAGCCTCCTGGACCATAGAAGTGTGCCTGCAGAATCAGCCTTCAATCAACACAATAATTACTCAAAGGCATAGGTATTCTTTACCTCAATTTCTGAATAGCTAGTATATCAAGTTAAGAAAGACACACATGCTCAGAGAAACAATATTTAAGGAAGGAGTTACGCCAGCAGATATCTTAAGAGCCAGACAAAAAAATTAAAAAAAGGAGTAATGAATGATGGAATCTTAGACCTAGAAGGAACCTCCAAATTTATCAAATCTAATCTCTTATCAGATGAGGCAACTGGTGGTCAAAGAGGTTGGTGATTATTCACACAGATGGTGGCAAACTAAGACTAAGAAACTGAGATTGGTTCTCAGTGCTCTTTCTACCACAATATACTGAACAAACCTCACTCTTACACGACCACAATTTTTTTTTAAAGTGTTAGTGTAAAAGTGTCTGTCTGGGGAGAGAAGGAGATACATCCCTACTCTTTTTAACACAACTAGGAAAGCTTATCAGTATCATGGGGACTTCATTCTCAGATCTTATATGAAGCTGAATGGTATGAAAGTCTCTAGTCCCATAGAAGTTAAGTTTCTACCAGCAATGATCAGGAATCAGAGATGGAATCTCCAGTTTTACTATGTATTTTTCTTCCATTTCTTATAACACACAGCTATTTAAAAGTAACTAGTGCAGCTTACCACTCTGACAGAGTTTTATAAAACAATAGACATAGTATTGTTAGTATTCTGTGCCATGTTAACATTTCCAATATTTTTTGTAAAACAAAACACAAATCCTTCATACATTATAAACAAAGAATGGTGGCAAAGGGAAAAAAATTAGCTAACAGTAGAGGCATGTTGAGTAATTTTTATAACAGCAAGCCATAATGTAATTTTGAGAGCTAAAAACTGATTTTAAGACTGTCAGATACTAGCAAATGAATGAGGCTCAAGCTCCTTATAGCTTGACATTCAAAACTGTAATCTCTCCTTATTCCAAAGAAACCCTTCCCATTCACATTAGTCTGTCTGCCATCTGTTAAACATTGGAATTCTATCTTCACATCTTAAGTCATTCCCTCTGATTAGAATGTCCTTCCTTCCATTCCCTTCCTTGCCCCAATCTCCGTAAATTTTTTGTCTATCCATGTCATGCAGTTTTTGAAGGATCAACTCAGCTGATGTCTCTGCCAAGACAGTCCCAGACCTAAATTAATTTATCCAGCTAGAATTAATCATTTGCTATAACCTTTGATAATAAACATTACTTTTACCATTAATTCAGTTCTCAAATGTCCTGCATTATAGTTATCTTCTTTCTTGAATTATATTTTCTATAGTAAAGAGAATACAATATACATCTCAGAGGTCATACCACAGAATAGCTCATCAATAAATACTACTGAATGAAAAGAAAAAAAATTAGCCCAATGATCATGTGCACAAACCATCAATTTTTTCAGATTACCTAATTGTTGGGAGATAAATTAAAAATAAGAGTTGTACATATTAAGATGACATGTATTACATGAATTTAACTATTTAATCAAAACTTTTTTTGAGACAAGGTTCCACTCTGTCGCCCATGCTAGAGTGCAATGACATTACCATAGCCCACTACAGTTTCAAATTCTCAGCTCAAGTGATCCTCCCATCTCAGCATTCCAAGAGCTGGGACTATAGGTGTGCACTACTAAGCCCAGTTAATTTTTTTTTTATAGTTTTTTTTGTAGAGATGGGGGTCGCCCTATGTTATACGTGCTGGTCTCAAACTCCTGGGCTCAAGCAATCCTCCCACCTTGGTAATCAAAATTTTCCTTACTGAGGTATTTTATAATTTGTGGAATATTATGGTTCAAATAGATATACAAAGCTACATAAAATGATGGCATCCAAATTCACTCCAGAGCAAATCTGAATTCTATCCATCTAGAGTAGGCATGTTTCCCTTATCCAAAATCAGAGTAAGCTGAAACACTGTTCAATCAACAAAGGAAATTGATTCCAGAGTTTAACTTCACAGAAGACCACTCTGCCTTGTCCTCAGTCCTTGCTAAAGTAGGAAACCATGGACTGACAGAATCTGCAGTTGAGCACAACTGTCATGACAGCAAATTCTCATATAATTACACAGCCCTAAAGACTTTAGACATTATCCCCCATAGATTTTCTAGTACTTACACTTAATGGTGTAAGTACTACCATTAGTAAACTTCATTATAATTACAGTTCCAGAATCTTAGTTTGAATAAGTAGATTTAGAGGATACTGGCCCTGAATCCTCAGGATGGCAGCTTGTTTTCATAGAAAGCTGGTGCCCACCTTGTGCCCAGGCATTGAGATGGATGCTAACATGTACTGTTTCTTTCAATCCTTGCAGAAACCTTTGAGAAAAGAATTGCTATTCCCATTTTTACAGATTTCCAGGCAATTAAGACATAGACAGTTTAACTTTACTCAACTCACCCACCTAGTAAGTAATAATGTTGATGTCTGAACAATGAGTTGTCCAGCTCAAAACCCATGTTCTTTCCACTGCACTGGCTGCCACACAATAATTCCTGAAAGTCAAATCAAGAATACCATCTAGAGTGCAGGCATTGTGGCTCACGCCTGTCATCTCAGCACTTGGGGACACTGAGGTGGGAGGACTGCTCAAGGACAGGAGTTCCAGACTTGGGCAATATAGCAGACCCGCCTCTACAAAAATTTAAAAGTTACCTGGGCAAGGTGGTGTGCGCCTGTAGTCCTAGCTGCTTGGGAGGCTGAGACAGAAGGAGTACTGGAGCCCAGGAGTTCAAGGCTGTAGTGACCTTTGATCATGCCACTGCACTCCAGCTTGGGCAATAGAGTGAAACCCTATTTTGATGGAGGGGAGGGGGGAAGGGAGAGGAATATCAGCTAGAAATTGACCAAAAGAAAAAACTATTGGAACAGAAAACCAAATACTGCATGTTCCAAGGTGAAAGTGAAAGTAAACACTGAGTATGTATGGACATAAAAGTGGGAACAATAGACACTGGGGACTACAAGGGGAATGGAGAGAGTTAAGCAGGTGCATACTGAAAAAATACCTGTGGTACTATGCTCACCACCTGGGAACATCAAGTTCAGCAAGTGTAGACTGAAAAAATACCTGTGGTACTATGCTCACCACCTGGGCGATGGGATCATCTGTATCCTAAAACCCAAGCATCACAAAATACACTCATGTAATGAACCTGCATGTGTGCCCTGTGTATCTAAAATAAAAGTTGAAATTATGGGAGTGAGGGGAGACTGAAGACTTCAGTTAGAATTTAGGTTGGGTGTATAATGTTGGAGAAATGAAAACATGTCTACTATTTGTACAAATCAGACAGTAATCATTTTCTTTCAAGAATATCTACAAGAATGTGAATCAAATTTAGAAACTCACTTGTGTGAGTTCTGCCTGTATATTAAAGCTAACAAGAGTGTCAGGTAGGGGAAAAACTATTTTTATTCTCATATACTGTTGGTAAGACCAAAAATCGGCACTTTTTTTTTTCAATCAAAATATGTGATTTTACAATAAAAAAAAAATGTTTGTACATATTTTGATCAAGTAATTCTACTTTTAGAACTTCTTCTGGAAAAAATAAGGAAATATACTAGGATTTAAGTTACAGGAATATTCATTACAGTGCTGTTTATATTAGCCAAAACTTGGAACTTAAATTATCCAACAAAAAGACTGTACACATGAAAATGGTTAGGGTGATAAATTTTATGTTATGTATCTTTTACCACATTTAATTAAAACATCATGAAGTATAAATTGGCTAAATGACATAAGCATGCAAAACTTAGCTATATGGCTGGGCGTGGAGGCCCATGCCTGTAATCTCAGCACTTTGGGAAGCTGAGGTGGGTGGATCACCTGAGATCAGGAGTTTGAGACCAGCCTGACCAATGTGGAAAAACCGTGCCTCTCCTAAATATACAAAAAATTGTCCGGGTGTGGTGGTGCATGCCTGTAATCCCAGCTACTTGGGAGGCTGAGGCAGGAGCATCGCTTGAACCTAGGAGGTGGAGGTTGCAGTGAGCCAATATCACACCATTGCACTCCAGCCTGGACAACAAGAGCAAAACTCCGTTTCAAAAAAAAAAAAGTTAGGTATGCAACCATAAAAGATACCATAATGGAAGAATATTTAATGACACAAAAATATATAAATTATATTAGGTAAAAAAATTGCTTTGCTAAATAGTACATATGGTTTAATATAACTACATATTAGTATGTACATACATTTATAGACTAGAAGGATGCACATACACACACCCCCCCCAAAATATGAACTCTCTAATCAAAGAATAGGAGAATTACTATTGAGTATTTTCTCCCTCTCTTTTGCTTATCTAAATTTTGTACTTCTTTGTCATTTTTAAGAGGATAAAAGGAAAATTCCCTACTATTTCATAGGATTTAAAGGATGTTAATGTCCTAGTTTAGGGAACCAATATATCTGAGGCCATGATTCCTCAAACCACAAACACTACACCAGCAAGAGACATTTCCAGAGGAGTCCAGAATTTTTCTAGTTGCCCCGAGACTCACACACAATATCCTGATGACTTATTCATCTGTACATTTCCAGAACCTCACACAATAGCTGATATGTAAACATAAATGCTTATACAATGAAGAGCTACTTATATTTACATAGCACTCTATCTTGTATATAGGGAGTTTATGTATATCATCTCATTTGATTCCACAATAACCTTGTGAACTGGGCATAAACATTCCCATTTAGAAGCAAAAAACTGCAACTAGAGAATTAGATCTTAGGGTTACTAAACTAACAAATCACAGAAAAGAGAACGCATAAAGTTGTCAAGTAATAAGTTTTATGCTACACCACAAAGACATTAAAATGTGTACAACTGTTCATTCAGTAAACACTGATTGAAGAGCCACTAAATACCAGGCACCTGTCTGTGTACAGGGAAATGTAACAGTGAACAAGTGCCACTAAGACCCTTTCCTGCCCTCATGAAGCTTATATTCCTATTGGGGAGAGAAGCAAAAAATGAAATAAACACAGAACATCAGGTTAAGCAGTGTAAGAACTTTGAAGAAGAGTAATGCAGAGTAAAGGGAGAATAAATTAGCTGTACTCTTTGAAGGGTGATCTGAGAAGGCTTCTTTGATGGCAGAAAGCCAAGACTGAAAAAAAAAAAAAGACCCATGAGACTTATATTCTAAGAGAAGATGTCAAATATAAAGACTCCAAGGTGTCAAATGTGCTTATAGTGACTGAAGAATAACAAGACCAATATGGCTAGACTGCAGGGAACTTTGGCAATTACTAAGAAATGAGGTTAGCCAGTCTGAGACTAGGTTTAAAAATGTAATTCTTTAATGTGTTATTAATGGAAAAAAATCTGGAATTTCAACAATATGTACCTTTCTCT